GGCTTTAAAATGAGGTGTCGCGGAAGTTGTAAACTGCTGTCGATCTTGCTGTGACCCCCTAGGAAAAGGTTATGCCCCGCCCTGTAAAAGAAATCAACCCTGACTGTTCTTTGGAAGGACAGATACTGAAGCTGAAGCTCAAATACTTTGGCCACCTAATGAGAACCCTTTCCCAATGAGGAATGATTTGGAGTTCTAACTCAAGCTGGGGTTGCACAAGAACAAATCAAAGTGAAGTCCAGACAGCTGTGAGGAAAGGAGACTTATTTATTCCCAAAAGCAGAGTTTTGCCTAGAGAAAATGAGGCCAAAAATGGCTGTGCTTGGGTGCTTGTCCTTGGTGTAGGTCTTGAGGGTTGTGGAAGTGTACATGTGCTGATTCTAGGGTGACACTTGAGGGGCATGGACGTGTATGTAGAGTAAGGGTTGAGTAAATCAAGCCATGTGGATTGAGTCTCTTCATTTGAACTCTTATAATTATATTGTTGAGTTTTGTGTGTTTGCTTGTGTTTACAACTTGAAATAAAAGTTTAATTCTTATGTTTGCTATGAGTTTAAAGGATTTCAGAGGCTGTTAATGACTTTGTTGGAGACCTGGGTTAGTTAACATATTTCTAACACATTATACAAATGTATATTCTTCCCACAACCCTGATGTTGGGAAAGATTTCAGGCAAAAGAAGGGGACAGCAGAGGATGAGATGGTTAGTAGTGTCATTCAGGCAATGAAAAGGAACTTGGGCAAACTCCAGGAGACAGGAGGGGGAGCATGCTATGCTTCATGGGGTTACAAAGGGTCGGACAAGACTTAGCGACTGAAGAACAACAAATGGAGAGATGACTGGATTCAAAAACTCAGCCTCTATTTACCCATTGCAACAATAAATTGCACATTTGTCTCACGCCCTTTCCTCCCTCGGCCTCTGCTTCCACTAATTTGCTAGGGACGACAGCTCTTGGAAGGCAAATGCAATTCGCTGCCTTTTAAAATGGCTTTTAAACTGCATGCCACATTTTAAAGCTCAGACACAGAAAACTTTGGGTCGAAATAGCAGGACCGCCGGAATCTGCTAGTGCTGCTTTGGGATAAGAGGAGGGAGGGCGGAGGTGATATTCTGCTCCCCCTGAACCTAAAGTGTTGGGCGTGATCTCATTAGGCGGGTTTCACATCAGGGCGGGAAGAATTTGTCAAGCTGTCAGGGTCTCCACGCGGGTAAGGAGACAACTCCTTGGAAAATCTGCCATATGGCTCTCCCGACTCCCTCTCTATAGTGTGAACCGTCGCTTCCGCTGACGCCAGGGCCGCGTATTGTAACGTAAACTGTGTCCGTCGCGTGGGGCATTGTGGGAGGGGGAACTGTCCCGTAGGAAGTCAAGCCAGAGGAAGGAGGAAGAAGTTGGCTCTAGAGGGAGTCTCCATTTTGGCTGGATCGTTGTTCCGTATTTTCTGTCACTTGCTTCCTCGTTCCAACGTCACCAAGTGAAGTAGTCTCTGTGTGGCAAGCGCTCTGCTTATATCCGGGAGCGGCTGAGGGAAAAGGATGGCTGCCGAGAGCCGGGAGGAACAAGGTACGGAATGTATCCCTTTCCTCATCTTCCTCCTGAACCGCATGCTGCCATGGCAACGGGGCTGCCTGTGGGAGGCGCGATTAGCTGTGGAAGCGTCTCGCCTTCGGCCCACGTCCCCTGACTAGCAGTCATTCCCTGTTCCCAGGTAAAGCTCGTTTTTCCCTCATTAAGCAAAAATCTTGGCCAGGGTTTAAGAGTTCACGCTAATTACCACCTTCCTTCTCCTGGAAAGGGTGCAAGCTGGGGGAGCTTTCGGATATTAACAGAGACGATGGTTTTGGAGGCCCCGGTCAGGAAATCGGGTGGAAGTCTAGGAAACTTTGATTTCATTGGATGGGATCCAGCCGCAAGGCGAGCACGCTTGGAGTCTGAAAAGTCGGAAAGGGTTAAGCTTTTCCCTTAAAAATCTGTAGGACATAAATTGCCGTTTTACTGATTCTGGTTTTTATTACCTGCCTTGATTGTAACGATTGTTTCAGTAATCATAATTTACCTACAAGGCGAACCTTTTCTATTATCCATGTGTTGAAAGAAATGTCCTTCTGGGTTCGGCTCCAAGTGGGGAAAAAGACACTGGAGACATGGAGGCTGCTTGAAAAGATGGTTTTAATGGTGGACAGGACCACATGGTTTGAGTCATGAACAGAAAAGGTGATCACATGCTTCAATGTTGGTAGAGAAGAGAAGAGAAGGGGAAAAGCAAGGAAGGAAGAGAAGGTGAGTT